TATACTCGCAGGCCTACTGTTAGCGCGTAGGATATCGGAACGCTCGACGACCCTTTTGCGACTTACGCGAAAGCCTGGCTTCGCCCCGGATTATACGCTCGAGAAATCATTTTCGACGCTGTTTGGCCAAGGTTTTTGCTTTTTCGCAAGCTACTTGCCATTTAAAAAGTTTTAAATTATCGCCAATGTGAAAGATGAGCCCTTGTGGCTCGTACCCAATGTAGCAGAAATACAGTTACAAGTCAATTGTTATTTCATTTTCTACTCTCGAGTCCATTTCGCCCTAAAGCTTATTCTATTATATACTGATCATAACGGTGCGCGCTCAGTGAAATTGTTAAAAGAATAACGTTAAATTTTCACTCTGACTCGTTTCGAAAGTGCCCTCTCCTCCGCAAATAGTAGTGATTTCAACGGTCAGATCGTTGTGATTGTTGAAATAAGTTTTGCTCGCATTTGCATGCGCAAGTTAAAGTGAAAACTAGGTTATAGGCCACCTATGCATCTAGCAAAACCATTTAACGAAACAGCCATGATTTTACCGAGGTGTTTGGTTTGCATAGCAATTTGAGTAAACGTCCAATAGGATTTAGAAATGAAAGTCAATTTAAATTGAAATCTTGCGGTCGAGGAAAAAATCTCGATAATTAAATCATCCAATCTTTTTTTTCTTTCTTGTCCAAAGAGAAACAAAAACGAGTTTCGGTGTAATTTAGAACGAAAGAAAGCATGGTTTGATGCCGGTGCCGCGTCGTTCACCACGCGCGCTAACCACTCGCATATACACACAGAACTCGTTTCGGAGAATGCAAAATGACATCTTCCGCGAGCGCACACTTTTTTTCTCGTCGCACCTTTGCTCGCGACCACGTCGCAGAAACGGCAGCGTGAAAAACGCGTCTTTTCGAGATCAGCGCTGACAAAAAAAATAAGCGAGCCCGCGGGAGAAAGAGAGAAAGAAAGAAGAGGAGAAAAAGCATCCCCAGAGGCTGTGAGCAAATAAAAACGAAAGTAAAAACTGAGCTCACGATTTACGGTTAACCAGCAGTGCTCGGCCTTTTTCGAGGATTGAATTTCGGTCAGAGTTCGCAGTAAGAAACTTTAATCGACCACACCGATCTTCATTTTTTCTCGCCAGATCTGCGAGTTACATCTACGATCGCAAGCGTCAACTCACCAACCTTTGTTTGTATCGCGAGTTTATTTTTATGCCGCTGCAGAATTGTGCGAGTGAGCGAGACGTCGATCCTGTATAATTCTTAATTGGAAGTTATCGCCGCTAGAGGTGTTTAATTTTTAGCAAAATGTGTGTAATGAAATATGCGATATTTCTTTTTAGTCAGCTGGAGAGCTTTTAATGTTCTACGTTTAGTTAAAAATACAATGAACCTTGGGGGCCACCCTAACAGTACATATAAAGAGATGTTGACTCTAAAGTAGATAGTTTACATTCTACTGTTCTTTTTTGTCTCGGTCTAAATTTATGAAGTACGTGCAGTAATAACACAAACTTACCGTTATTAATACAACTGCGAACATCTTTCCATTGAACAATTATACTTATGTACTGAACCAAATGCTATTGATCTACTGTTATTTAATTGAAGAGTAAAGTTTGAAACAATCAATCGTTAGAATATCATGTTAGAGTTATGAGCATTACCATAAGCAAATCTAATTAATGAAAACATATTATACTTAAAATATAATTAATGTTGACCATCATCGAAGAAAATCGAAAATAAATACCTAATTATTTTTCTATGGAACGAACAAATAATGAATTATTAAGAACAAATAAGAATTTAGTCAACATATCAGGCATTTAATGATACCATCGCTTATGCAAAGCCAAATAAATCGGCGAGAAAAAGCAAGGAGCAAGTATATATTACAGACTTCGCGGAAGGCAAAATAACCGGCCAACAAGATTAAACTTCAACACACACACACACATACAAGGATCGGGAGCAAGCTTCGCAAGATCGAGTATGTAGTGCGGTGTACATCGGAAGCGTTTCCCGGTGGCGACGATATGTACCTTGGCAATCTTTAGCTTGTCGTCGTGCGTGGCTTGGTAGCGATAAAAATAGAAGAGAAGCTGCCTTCGGGGCAGAAGCGCAGAAAAGAAAAATGAAGAGACACAAAGCGCGTCACCGCGAACAAACTCGGAATGCGCGCGCACGCACACGACGCTGTGGGACCAAACCCGCGGCGTCTCCCTTTCCGCCAAGGTCGTCTCGGGCGTTAAAGCTCGCAACCTCGTGGCGGCGGCTCAGCGCGGAGAAAAGTCGCGCGTAAGAACAAGGGAGCAAAACCTGCCTGGGCGGCGCGTGCGCACGCAGCGCCACGGAGACGCAGCGCGCAAAAAACACATCTATGGAATTTCTGCAGGCCGTAATGAGAAAATTCGTTTGGCATTTCTCCGGGCTACGGTTTAACGACAGGCACTGTAATTGCCAAGACAGCTCTCTCTCTCTCTCTCTCTCTCTCGCGCGCGCGCGCGCGCAGATACGATTGTTTAAAGCCGACGGCTGGGCGAGGGAAGCTGCCCTGTTCTCTCTAGTTCTTATAAACTCGCTGGATTATATTATACCAGCTCGTCTCGTTATTATGTACTGAAAACGTCGCCGATAAAGGCGAATAAAAAACAAAGCCAGAGCGCAGCGAGAGAAACTGTCTCATTAAGAACGAGTTTTCATTAACTGTTATAAAGTAGCGAGTATATCGACGTACAGGGGATGCAAACTTGTCTCGCATGCAAACTCAATTCTCGTCTTTTTTCGCGGATTTAATTAGGCAAGACCGATTGAGAATGTCGCATACTCTCGTAAATATCACTCGCGATGATTATCAATGCAATTTCAAATTATTTACGATACTATCTTCGACGCTTCGATGCAGCTGTCTAAGGTGCAAATCAGGACCGCGAGAAACGCTTGTTTTTTCTGAAAGTTCAATAAATAATCGCCCAGCTGTTACGCGCATAATCGGACTCCTTTGCTTCTGAAAACATCAATGAAGAAATTTATTCCAAGCCCGAGTTCTCTGTACTTATGGACAAATTTCGGTGAAATTATGACTTTCTTGACAAATAAGTAACAGCGGAAATTATCATAAATATCGCGCTGAGAGAAGACACCGTATCGATACTCTCTATCTCTCGTTTATATGAAATATAATCAAAACGACGGCGCGTGTGCGTCGCGTTTCCTCTTTCACGCCTTACGTGCGCGCGGCACAAACCGCTTCTTCGCATTCGTTTTTTTTTTTCCTTTTTATTTTCGCTCCGCTCGCGTCTCTCTCACTTTCCCGCTTTCCTAATCGTTTCTTTCTCCCCGACCAAAAATATCTTGACTTTTTACTTTACAGTGTTACTTACGCGCGCGCGGCCGACTCTCCCGCGTGTGCGAACGCATTTTTTCTTTCCTTTTTCGCAAATATAGTTTCCGAGTCGACTTCGCGCATGTATATCTGTGGCCGACGACTCGGCAATTCTGAAATCGTTTCGTTTTTCGCCTTTTTCGCTCGCGCCCGTTCTTATTTTACGATAGCTACTTCGGTATCAGTTGCGTTCCGCGATAAATGTGTACTTACGCGATTGTCTGTCGGCCCGATGTTTGCTTGGAACTCGCTGGTAATATTATCCACTTTTACGAATTTCGAGACAGCACTTGTGCACGAACGCGTGCCGTGTATTTTTCTTGCAAGTGTTTTTCGTTCTCCGGGTCTTAAATAATTTTCGAAACTTCGTTACAATCACGAAGGCACTTCTTTTCGAACATTATTATAATTCAATGTCGTTTTATACAGAGAATAAAGATTAATTATGATTCGTAACGTTTCGTCCGTTACAATAAATATATTCATAAAACAAGCTATTACGCTTTACAAGTTAGATCAGATTTTAAGAAAAGATAAATAGGTGAACCAAAAAGGCCTCGTTAGGCCTGCAGAAGCTTAGAAATTCGATGCTTCGAGCGATAATGCAAGCAATTGCCATGATTATGCCAAAATACAAAAATTACTTTTTTAATGCTCAAAGCGACGACGTTGGCAATACTGGATGAAATTTTATATACACCGTTATCCATTTGTCACACGGTATTTCTTTGAGATTTATTATAGGCGTTATATTTTATTTCAAATAGGCGGACTGACAGTTCGCTTGGTTGTCACGAAACACGTTGCGATACTACCCATTTGAGTAAGTTTTCGTTATTTCAGTTTTGCTTAATCGCTATAAAATATAACAACATTAGTGGGGAACTTGCTGATGAATAATAATTACATATTGATGCGCCATTTGACGCGTGGTCATTGCCGTTATAAAAATTTTGAAAACGTAGTTTGTGAGTCAATGTCTTAGATGATAGTGAATCTCACAAAGCACGGATGTGACAACCGCATTGTCATTTTTACATGAATCTTAGTAATTTTTAGAGTACTGTCATATAAAATTGAAATTTTACTAATTTGTCACCCTCATAAATTAGCGCATTCAAAATTCACAGCGAAGAAGATGATTGTATTTTGTAAAAAAAAAAAAACATTTGTAAGCCGTTAGGTGTGCAATCGAACAGAGAAAATAGAAAATTGACAGATCTGAAGCTGAAGAAAAAGCGCGAAGGAAAAACCTGGAGCGAGGTTCGCGGCATTACAAACACAGAAAACAAGGAACGGCTGTCGAGCCGCAAACATATTCGAGCGAATAAATCAACAGATCGTCAGAGAAGCTGGCGCACAGCTCGTCACATACATATACGTACAGCGGGTGCGAGAGAGAAAGAGCTGTACCGGAGATCGCAGAGAGCTTGACCAGGAGGAAGCGGGTCTGAGAGTTGCGTTCAAGTGGGCCCCCCTACCTGAGAGAACGAGCGAGCACGCGAGTGAACGGTCAGGTGGCGGCGCTGTGCACCTGTGCAGCGCTGGAGGTGTTGCTTTTCACCTGGCGACGTGCTAGTTGAGCTCGCGATCGCGACCGGGAAGGTTGTCCGCTCTCTCTTTCCGAATCAAGCGAGCATCATGAGGCTGCTGTGCGATCGCGTCGTTCGCTGATAGACATAGACACGCATCTTGACGAGTTTGTGATATTGATGAGCCGCATACAAGTGCGAAGACAACGAGTTGTACGTGTTATTTTGACAATCGGGAACAGTGCTGTTTACGTGCGCAGAGAGAAATTTTGAGGGCACATCAATTTGCCCCGGAGACAGAGAGCGAGGGAAAAAAAGGACGAGTCGCGCGGCGCGAATGTGCACGTCGATATAAGCCGGTTGACAAGAGAGAAGGAGGAGGCGAAAGTGCTTCGCAAAAGGGAGAGACGACGATTTATCGAGCCGAGATGGATACCGTTCTCGAGAAGATGGGCAAGATCAACCTGGTAATATTCTTTCCGCCAGTCTCGAAATCTTTACAAATAACTGTATACTTTTCGGGGTTAGGATATACCGGTCGATTGATTGTTATTTCATCAATATGAGCTAGCGCCGTTCGAAAAGACATTAACCGAGCGAATCATTTTTTTTGTAAACAGATTATGCGACGTTCGCTGTAAGTGGAAGATGCGCAGACCAACTTTTACTCGTAAATAACCGTGTGTGCGCGTTTCGGGCTCAAGTTGTTTACCGGCTCTTTCAAATTTTTTATCGATCGAACACTATGTTGCCTCTTTTTTCTTCTCTTTTTTTTTCTTTTAATTATTGACATTAAACGTAGCTTTATGGGGAATCATGCGCTTACGTTAACAGACATTTTCAAGTTCGCGCGAAAGAAAGCTATATAATACGTAAAAACGGCGAAAATTTTACTGGCAAATAACAGTATAAGTTTTCGGCGTTATTTTGCGCTTGGCTTTTACGATCGCGGCTTTCGAATTTTGTCCTTTTATCGATCTCACGCCGGCAACTTTGTCACTTTTAGTACCGGCATTAATGCACTTTCTGATTTTGATGCGCGACGCACCAACTGCTTACTCGTATAGATAACAATTTAAGCTTTAGCGTTACTTTGCACGTCGCATTTACGAGCTTGCAGTTTGCTAAATTTTGCAGTTCTTAATCGATTCGCTTTTGAAACTTTGTTCGCTCTCGGAAATTCCATTGAATATCTTCATGTGAACGACGTTTTTTCATTATTAACAGTCTTTCATTCAAAATTGGTCACTCGCGTGACCTAAAATTTGCTAGGAAATTTGGGCTGGGTCATGAATTTTGAGGATCGAATCGGATATTCTTCGTTGACAAATTTTTGAAACTAGTAATTTATATTTCATTTTTATTAGAGTTGACGATACGATGGTTCTATATAACTCAAACTTTACAAGATTGTATAATGGAATACGTCTAATGATATATTAATTATGACATATTGAATTTAAAAATTACAAGTAATATCACTCGCTAGTTTTTAAATCGATTAGCAATTTTAGTTTGTATGTGAAAATTATGTATGTACGATAGTCAGTACCGTTCTGAACTTTTTCTCAATCGAAAAAAAATATCTTCAATTACCTCTAAAATTATAGTCATTAAAGTACAAAATAATGTGATTACATAATTTTATTTTTTAAATTTTTATAAAAAGCGAATGAAAGTAAAATTAAAATTTTAAGAATTTCACTAATGGACTGTCTCGAGTATCATCTGAATTGGTATTATGTGCACGAGTATATATCTGTTTCATATCGTAATAAAGTTAACAGGTGAGCATATTTTTGCAGATCCTCATGAGATAAAGCAATGTTATCACATAACGAGATTGAAATCTAGTTGAGTAATCATTGATCTTTCTTGTAACTAAAGAATACGTATTCGATTTAACAGACTATAAATTTGCAGTATTTGTGTATTTTCAAAAATTATTTGCGATTCAGTTTAAAAAAGTGCAATAAAAAATTGAATCATTCTGCATGAAATATAAATGAAGAATCAAGTCGATATATGATTATGTGAACTCAAGGTAAATTTATCTTCTCATAACAACCCATTGGATCTCTCTTTTACCTTTGTAATTTTTTTCATTACACGCGGCAAAAGCACATATATACGAGCGTTATTGGTCTATTTGTAGAAAACGCGAATATCTTATAAGTGCCTGGCTTGCAACTTGCCCGAGAGTTGTATTACCTGATCGGACTCTCGCTGTGCCGAATGTGTATCTCGTTCACGTGCCACTTTCAGCGGCAGTGGCCGCCCGCTCGAGTTTTCGTTTTGTTTTACTTTCTTCGAGGATATACGCATATACAAGCACACAGGCGCACTCAAGCTGCCATCCGCAGGCAATTTTATGAGTTTGCCAAGAATGGCCTTTGGATTTTACGCGAGTAAATTAATTGGTAAGAAAAGTCTTGAATCTTGCGAAAAAAAAAAAAACAATTTACATAGGCAGAAGTTTGTGTGCATTTTGTGATAGCAAAAAAATTACATGCTTACATCTTCATTAGATTATTACCTAAGAACCGATACGAGTGAACGTATCACGCGAGTCTCGAAAGGGATAATTGGTATTTTTACCTAGTTCGTAAGCGCTGCTGTTGCGACTAAAAATATTTTTACCGAAGGCATTTTAAATTGTTCGATCGTTGTTTACGGCCATTCAATAAAGTATTTACGCCATTCGTGCACGTGGGTCCAACGCGTCATTCTCTCTCATGTGTGTACCATTTAATGCGCCTATATAAGCGAAGCAGCTTTGATGATTATTTATTCGTAGTTTGGCAAACGAAAAGTATGCAAACCTGGTCTATCCTTCATTGTTTAAAAGTTATGCAGCATGGCGATGTGTCCCCATAGTTTGTTTGAGTCGCGGCGCAAGATCTTCTCGCGCTTGTAATTCAAATGTTACAAGCGAAGGATTAGTTTGCTCTAAATTGCTTATAAGCGCACGCGGATGCCGATGAAAATCTCGAAAAGTTGCGTATGCTGCAACGTAACTAATTTTTGCGTTGCGCTATTCATCGCGCGGCTCGCAAACAAACCTCTAAAAACTCAACCGCAAGCTTTATTTTTTATTTTCCCTTGCAGTCGTCATTGCATTCGTCTACGGTGATCATCGTTGGTATCGAAATTGAATTTACTTATACGCGCGATAAAACGTAGCTCGAATAAATATCTATAACGACACTTGGCAATTAAAGCACTAGTTGAAAATCGCGCGGCGAGTTCTTAAAACGGTGTACTCAATTTTTAGTACACCATTAACATGGCAAGTGCAAGGCTGGATTTCCTTTAGCCCTCTAAATCATGCTGATAGCGCCATGGTTGTGGTGTGGTAAACAGTACATACGTACAGGTACACTATCGAGTGAAATCATGAAATCATCGTATGAAACACGACCGACATAAATTCAACATCAGTGCGCACGCGTATTTTTATCGGTTCACACACAACATATACGTGCTCGTAATAAATTGCGCTCGCTTCTTTTTTCCTTCCTTCATTGCAGCTCGGTACACGAAGAATGTGCATAAATGACATTTTAAGTACGAAAGTAGCGTGTACACTGCTGCTGCTGCTGCTGCTGCTGCTGCTGCTACTGCTGATAATATATTGTTCACTTGCTAATAAACGATTTATTAATAATTTATATCTGGACTCACATGCGAAAGTGTATCTCGACATTACTTTTGAATTTCACTCCGCGAATCGCTTTTAATAAATGTATCTCTAGTTAATCTTGCGCGCAAAGATTGCAAAACAGGTTCCGACTTTTGATGCGCGCCATGAAATCGAAATGGCAACTTTTATCGTTTGGTTTATTTTTGTGAAATTGTCTATTCACACTGCAACCGGGTTTCACGTAGTGGTAATGACTGAAATTATGATGTTTCTTTCGCTCGCAGTTGACGTGTGGCTTATCTTTCCCGCACTAATGAAATGACAGTGACAAGTAAAACGTCGTCTTTTTGAAATGGGTTTTTTCAAACAATTCAATCTTACGCGATCTGCATGAGCAGTGTCGACGTTTTAATTAGCATTAGTTTTTTCTGTAGTCGCGACAGGTCACAAAGAACTTGGAATCCGAATGAGAAGCCAGTCAATAGATCATGAAGTTGAATAATCGATAAAAAAACGATCTCGTAACATTAGTTAGACGAGAGTGTTCGTCGAGCTAACGGTTGTAAAAAGAGCTCCGACGAAAATCAAAAAAGGTATAAGCCCTTGAAAGCTCGATAGTATTCCATTTTGAAAGCAATAAGTAAGGTCTGTCGCGGCGAAGATTCAAACGGAATGGCCGCGTTGTGCTCCATGGCACTTTTTCTTATATAGGCAAGAGCGCAGCAGTGCGGCGATTACCTCGTTGTTACGAAGTCAATAGACTCATCGGTCGGGTTCTCTCTCTCTCTCTCTCTCTCTCTCTCTCTCTCTCTCGTGCAATATGTATGTATACACGTTAGGTATACTGGTCTTCAGTCGCGACCACCCCGCTCGTTAAAAACCGAAGTGTTCTTTTTGTTGTCTCTGTGCTATGGGCTTCCTGTCGCGTCCGCGCTGTCGGCGACGTTTTTGAGCGATCGATTAGATTAAGATAGATTGATCGTCGCCACTACTAGCGCTGATCGTTTTTTTTACGCGCGCTACTAGTAAGAGTCGACTAACTCGAATTAGCGCCCGTCTTGTATACGCGAACAAATAGGCGCCGTGTGCGACTGAGAGAGATCGTCTAGATCGATTCATTTCTCAGATTGTAAGTTAACTTCTTTATTTCTCCTTTTTTAATGAAAACGATTATTGTTTATTATCGCGTGCGCGCAATATTTATCACTCAGGATACGTTAATTTCTATTTGATTTTATTTTTTACCAATTAACCGCTCGAAATAATATTGAATCTTGTTTTATTCTCTGTTTCAGGTAAGTCATTCGCCCTCCAAAAAACTCTCTTGCTGTGTAATTATAATTGTATGGCCGCTGGGTGAGCGTATCTGGCAGTAGCTCAATTATTAAAGAGCAAGCAATGATCGTACATTCAACTGCAAACGATCGAGCCGACAGAACAATCAAACTTAAAATGAATGTAAAATAAAACGTGCAATGTCACAACATCGATACATCCGTCTATCTTTGAATGCTAGAAACGCGTTAATTTCACGCGGCGATGCATTAATCTTGCGTCGTTTTCACGTTCTGCAATAGTAGCCTTTCACAATAAAAAGACCAACGGAGAGTTTTCTATTTGTCCACGCACGTATTACACTGTTGACGTTCAAGTTATCTCGGCACATCTCGAAGCACGCGCTCGTATAATATAGCCGAGATATGTCGTTATCCAAGTTACGCAGCGTAGCGGTCGCCGACACGAAATTACACCTACACGTTCGTGTTGCCGGCGTTTTCTCCTAATGCAGTAAAAGAAAGAAAGAACGCCGTCTCGTAAATTTAC